AAAAAATAAAAATAAAACAATAAATGAAAAAAAAAAAAGAATATACCTCACCATATACAGCTCCCTCATGCATGGGAAGGCATTACCTGATGGTCAAGAGTTTTAAGAGAGAGGCCAAAAGATAAAGAGAAGTGAGGTGACCAAACATATTTCCCCACTATGTCGAACTAAAGGATCTATAATAATAACTTTTTGGATTAAGATATTGTGGATACTATAGTAAAGTGTTCAGTCGTAGGGCTTTTGCCTAAGACCACTATTGCTCATCAACTCTGAATGAATGCTTGTTGAGTTCACTATTCTTGTTGGTCCCCCCCCCCCCCCCCCCCCCCCCCCCCCCTTCCCCCTTCCCCCCCCCCCCCCCCCCCCTCCCTCCCTCCCTCCTTCCTCCCTCCCTCCTTCCTTCCTCCCTCCCTCCTTCCTTCCTCCCTCCCTCCTTCCTTCCTCCCTCCTTCCTTCCTTCCTCCTTCCTTCCTTTCTTCTTATCACTCACTAAACTCTTGTTCTGGACAGACCCTGTGCTGAGGACTCAGATGACTCAGATCAACTCCCTGTCCATGTGAGTTCCCAGTCTGATGGGGGAGACAGACCCATGCCAGACAGTGACAGCCCGGTAACACTGTGGCATATAAACGGAGGTGACTTCACTGTGTTTTGTCACTGAGTGGAGTGGTAGAGCTGGGACATGGGCCTTAAGAATTAATGGACACATTTGTCTTCTAGCCAGGAAGGCCCCATTGGTGGGGCCAGGTGAAGGATGTCACGTGGGAAAAGAAATGTTTGTGGGAAAAAATACTCGGGGCTCCTGGGGCTTAAAAGGCAGACTTTCTCGAGACATGGGCCTCCCCAGAGGTGCACTTAAGGACCCTGCCTTTGGGTTATGGGCACCACAAGCTCATTCCACACCAGAAATGAGCCTGCAAGATTTGAGAACCTCTAGAGAAGTCCTTGGTCAGCATAAGCTGTAGGCAGCTGTGCAGAGCGGTGGTTATGCTGTGGGCTCTGGACTTAGATCAGGGTTCAGATCCTTACGCGAACCCTTATCAACTGCATGACTTCGGAGAAATGACTCTTTGTCTCTGGTTTTCCTCTGTAGGAGGATGATAACCATAGTACCTTCCTCCTGGGATGAGGCCCGAAGGCGGTAGCCTCTATGAGGTCCTTGCCCAAGGGGGTGTGTGAGGAGAGCTATGACAATGGCAGTGATGATGAGAGCGAGGTACAGTCAAGAGCTGCCCGGCAATCTCTGGGTCTCATTCACCCCAGCTGGAAAATGGGAGGGCTGGTCAAGCTTATTGGCTCTCGAAGGATGATGCCTGGACCAGAAGTATCAGCATCACTTGGGATCTTATTAGAAATGCAGATTCGGGGCGTCTGGGTGGCTCAGTTGGTTAAGCATCTGACTTCGGCTCAGGTCATGATCTCGCCATTCATGAGTTCGAGCCCCGTGTCAGGCTCTGTGCTGACTGCTTGGACCCTGGACCCATTTCTGGTTCTATGTCTCCCACTCTCTGCCCCTCCCCTGCTTGTACTCTGTCTGTCTCTCTCTCTCAAAAACAAACATTAAATAAAATTAAAAAGAAAAAGAAATGCAAATTATTGGGTTCTACTGGAGCTTTACTGGAGATGTGGCCCAGAAATCTGAATTTTTGATTTTAAAAAATTAAAAAAAATTTTTTTTTAATGTTTTTATTTATTTTTGAGAGAGAGAAAGAGGGAGACACAGAATCTGAAGAAGGGTCCAGGCTCCAAGCTGTCAGCACAGACCCCAACGTGGGGCTCAAACCCACAAACCGTGAGGTCATACCTGAGCCAAAGTCGGACGCTCAACTATCTAAGCCACCCAGGCGCCCCTAAAGAAATTTTTTTAATGTTTATTTATTTTAGAGAGAGAGAGAGCACACTCATGAGCCAAGGAAGGGCAGAGAGAGAGGGAGACACAGAATCCGAAGCAGGCTCCAGGGGCTGAGCCATCATTATAGAGCCTGACGCAGGGCTCAAACTCACGGACCATGAGATCATGACCTGAGCCAAAGTCAGATGCTTAACCAGCTGAGCTACCCTGGCTCTCCACAATCTGGATTTTAAAAAGCCCTCTGCATAATTCTGCTGCAGGCTGAAATTTGGGGACCACCCACCTCACTATCACTTAAGACCTCTTCTCTATCCACTTTCCCAGGACTGTGATGCAGGCATGTTGCAGGTTTCCTGTGTTTAGGGCCTGGATCTGGGGACTGCTGGGGAGAGGGCACACAGAGATGAGTAAGATGTGGTGCCAGCCCTCAGGGGGCCCCCAGGTGAGTCAGGAAGCGGAGGCAGGTACCCGTGGAAATATTCATTGGAGTAATGGATCCACCAGAACTGCCTGAGAGACATGAGTCAGTTCTGTGATCAAGAGCAGAAAGGAGGGGCACCTGGGTGGCTCAGCTGGTTAAGCGTCTGACTTCGGCTCAGGTCATGATCTCACAATTTTTGGGTTCGAGCCCCACATCGGGCTCTGCACTGTCAGGGAAGAGCCGACCTCAGATCCTCTGTCCCTGTCTCTCTATCTGTCCTACCTCCCCCCCCCAAATAAATAAATAAACATAAAAAAAAAAGAGCAGAGAGAAGAGTGACCTTTCTTTTTCGCTGCAGAGAGACCTGGCTCTCTGTTGCT